CCATTACTAGTAATTGAAGAACAATTATGAAAATAAGGTGTTTGAAGAAATCCATGACTCAAATATTTCTAAGTAATTTTGAAAGCATTGCTGATAGAATCACAGAGATCACACATAACAAATTGTGCTAAGGTCATATACAAAAATCCTTCCCCCTGTTCTTACCTGACACAGAGTATTTCTCATGGTAAACTCTGTAAGCTCTTTCATGAGCAGCAGCCAGGGCCTGGACACGGGCCTGGAGGTCACTGTAAGGCAGGCTTCCCAGGAGCTCAGGCAGGTCACTGAAGGTGAGCCACATATCAGCCAGGCCTCCAAAAACATAGAAACTGAACTCTGCATAGTCCACAAAAAGGTCAGCAAAAGAGCTCTCCTTCCTGCCCGCAGCCACACTATCAGGAACACCCTTGTGATGGAGAACGACCACTGGCCTGAGGTCTGCAGCAACCAGCATTTGGAGCAGCTCCTGGTAGCATCGCACTTGAGCTTCATCTGGCTTCTTGGCGTCCCCGTCAGGAAGGATGCGCGCCCACGGCAGGAAGACTTTGTAATGTGTTACCCCAATCTCACGGAGGTGGGAGAAGTACTGGGGCAGTTGGGAAATCACAGCATCTTGCTGACAGAAGTCATCACGGGCTTCAGACACAGTAGGGTCCAAAGCTTCTTTGGGTAGAATGTGGCTCTGCAGATGCAATCTGTGCGCTGATGTGGTAGGCAGAGGTCCAGCAATGGCAACAAAGTTCTGAGCTGATTCCCCATCTATCCCAAAGCTAGTAGAGACTAACAAGAACAAGACAACTGTCTTACAGACCAGCTCCATTTCTGGACCTGGCTCACAAACATTGCGTCCACATTATTTATATTATAGTAGGAGTAATATTTAACTGCAGTTATCTGTTATGCACTTAAGTGCTTCCAGAAACAGCTGACACTCAAATGATAACAAATCAGGACTTTCAATTGATAGATGAACAAATAAATAGATGTTTTGGATGCAAAAGGTAACAAAAGCAGAATCACCTACTTGGCTGTGGCTGGTGACACCAATGCCTGCAGGAGGCACATTTGTGCTGTAATTCTTGGGTGCATGAAGGAAATCTGAGAAGGCAGCATCTTACCTCCATTTGGAAAAGCTGTTGTTACAGTCGCTGTTACATAAATTCAAGAAGCAGATACACTGTGTGTCCCCATGCTAATAACAATATTATTTTATTGCTTACCAAAGTACTCCTTCCTTCAGCCTTGAGAATACTTTATCTGTCAGTAGGGTGAGTGCACAGAGATCTCTTACCCAAACTGCTGCAACAAGGAGATAACTTCACAGCTCTACATGCAAATACAGCAATATTGAAGAGTTGAGATCATGTTATTGAGAACCACTATCTGTGCCTAAATGCAGCACAAGTTTAAATTAACTAAACAAAATTCTACATAACTATAACGAAACTATATTGAAAAACCAGTTGTCTCTCACTTCACCTCCCTTAAAAGCTAGTTTTTGCATAAAACATTAGTGGAATTATCTGGGCAACTTATCATTGTAAAGAAATATTTTCAGTATTATTTAAATTACAGTAGAAACTGTCTCTAAACTTTTGCTTTTACTCACAATTGACAACCTCCTGCATATACAAAGCCTATAATTGGTGTACTTGAACTCTGTTTGATGCTCAGGTGGCTATTTTATATTTTTAAGGAGCCTTAAAAAACTTGTTGCAACATTGCGCCTGTTTTGAGCACTCAAGTACTCTTTCCCTCCCAGCCGCAATGAACTTAACAAGATCGTATAGGAACCTTATATATTGCACCACCTGCTGTTAGTTTTTGGGTATAGCAGTGTTAACTCCAGAAAAATATCCCTCCTCTCTATGATGCATACAGAATTGTAGGGAAAGAGGAAGTAGGAAGAAAGCATTTCCTCCTTACCAAAAGAGAGCAGAGGAAAGAAAGAACGTATAATGAAGGACGAATATCTCCCTGTCCTTAGGGTGAGTTATTAACAATATAGAAAATCATTGCTGCAGGGGGGCAGTTGTTTTTAATGAAATGTAGCTTTAGCTGAGATGCAGTTTATGGGAAAAAAAGTTGCAGAGAAATGTTACTGCAAACAGTGCCCAATGACAGCACAGTACAGCTTGCAACATTTATGAATCTTTTAATTCCATAAATATAACATCCATGTTTGAAGTATGCATAGTCAGACTAAGGAACATTTGGACTGCAATGATTTACCTCTGCAGACAACAAAGAGAAGTGGGAATCCATGTCCTCTACAGAAGAACCTACGACTCTTTAGCAAATTTGTAAGGAATTTAGGCTTCAATCTAGAAATATAAGACAGTTTAAATATTCTCTTGGATTTGTTTCATGCTATTTATATTAAGCACAGTAGGATCACTTGATTATTTAGATATTTTTAAAAATATGATTGTACTTGTATTAAAGGCATTGGCCACAACTCCACAGTTAAAGCAGCAGATGTTTGCAACAAAGTCACTGTCAGAAACCTGGAGGTTTTTGTTTTGTTGATTGGGTTTTCTGTTTTAAGAGAAAACATTTAAACAGCAAAGCCTGGTGCTTCAGGAGTTAGAAATGTTTGTAACACAGGGCATTGGAAAAACAGGAACAGGTTACCTAGAAAAGTGATAGTATTTCCCATGCTGGGAACATTCAAGACTCAGTTTGGTACAGGACAATCTAATCGATGGCTCTGATGCCAACAAGAGGTTGGATAAAAAGATGTGCAGTGATCCTTTCTAACCTGGACTTTCCAATAATTTTCTTTTGGAAACTATCACTTTTCTTCCCCATTTTTCATAACTAACAGCTAAACTACCATACCAAAATACTGGACATTCATGCAACTGAAGTACAAAGCAACTCTTAAGTGTCCACATTTGATCTCTACCAGAAATACAAAGTAAATCTCTCTCAGAATTGGCACTGGTATGACAGGGAGCTTCCACAAGCCTCTGTTGGGCCTCCATTATCATAAGTAGCTTACCCAATTCCTTGCTTCCCTGCTTTGCTTCATTTGTCATTCCTAGTTCTATCTCTTCAGTTTCTGGGCTTTTTAAAGTTCAGGAGATACTGGCTCTAAGAGCTGGCAGCAGAAAAAAATGGTATAACTAACTTCCAAATGTTATATCAAACAATAATACAGCACCTATACTATTTACTTAATGGTTGTAAAACAAGGAGGCCAATTTAGTCACTAATTAAAATCAGTTCAGGTTCAGAAGATTAATACATTGAAGTGAGCAAGCATTTGATTTAGTTGGCTCGAACTGACAGTGCAATAAAGATTATTTGGGACTATGTATCAATTACTCATCTAATACAGACTAACAAAATGAATTCCAAAAGCAATGTATAATGTCACCTTCAGCACAACTCTAGGAACCCCTGATGAAGAAATTCTGCAGTAACATGTGGAAGGCTAAATGGACACATCATGGAGAGGAGGAAGATAATTCCCATTCTCAGCAAATGCAGGATGGTGTACTGGAAAAAGACTAAGGTGTAAATCCCAGAGGGTACATTTAAAAAGTTGCACATTTGAAATAGTATTTACCTCTGTAAGTGCATTAAGAGAAGTATTCTGCTGCCTTGGATTGACAGCATTGCTCCCAAATCTTGTTAGCATTCAAATTGGAGTTTGTTATTCCCTTACTCAACAGGAGTTGAAGCACAGATGAGACAAAGGTCACAAAATCAACTTACAATCTTTTCTCTTAACTCAAATTGTGTTCTTGTTTGGTACAATATTAAACTGTTCACAAATTCTTGGAACCAAAAAGGTGAGCCTTGAAATTACAGTAAAAATAACACACCCAAATGTTGACTGTAGCTTTTAACATGCTAAAAGGACCCAATATATTTACGGTCTAGTTTGAAAAGTTGATTTTCAAATACATTACAAAATTCCGTATTCTGGAGTGCAAAAACTTAAGATAAGCTGGAAATTGACATTTTATATATGCTTTTATCCTTCTAAACAAATATTAATATACATTTTTCCACCATAAATTACAGTTTAACCTCATTACAAACTATTAATGGAAAGGTCACATACAAAAATCCCTCCCTATGCCATCCTGACATCCCCCTAGGGAAGACTGCATGTCCATGGCAGGAAAGACTTGTAGTGTGTGGGAGAGGTGGGAAATCACAGCAGGGAAATCACAAGACCTTGCTGAGTCACAAGTCATCGTGGGCTTCAGACACAGCAGGGCCCAGAGCTTCTTTGGGTAGGATGTGGTTCTGCAGATGCACCCTGTGTACTAACTGGGAGAGGGCCAGCAGTGGCAACAAAGTTCTGAGCTAATTCCCTGTCTATCCCAAAGCTGGTACAGACTGACAAGAGCAAGACAACTGCCCCACAGAGCAGCTCCATTTCTGAATCTGACTTAGAAACAGTCAGTCTACACTAGCTGTACTTAAAATATCATGGTATTCTTTGAGCTTTCACAAATCTTTCATAGGAGCTGGTATCAGGTTGATAAGAATTAAAAATATTTGAATATTTGTCTTCTAAAATAATGTAATAATCCCATGCTGTACAGCACATAACTGAGACCAATATAAATTTAAGCAGAATTTTCTTATACAATTATCTGTAAACAAATTTACTAATGTACTCCTAAAAATCCCTCACAAACAAAGGCACTGCTCAAGTCACTTACGGGTCAAGACATTCCTCTAGTTGGGAGGGTTTTGCCATTCTGACCTAAAAGCCTTGCTTTGGGCTCAACTGTTTTAAATTTTCTGTTCTATATATGCAACAGGAGCATGCACAGCTTATTGTATCTAAAAAGAAAAAGCAGTAATCAGTTTTCATTATCTGTTACTGGCATTTAAATACTTCCTAAAACAGCAGCTATCATGGAGGAAATTTTATCTTTGTCAAGATACAAAGGGTTTAGATCACTAATTTTTTAGTCTCAAAACACAGTCGTAGAAAATAACCCCACATACCAGTAACAACAAATCCACCCCCAAACGCTGAATGGTCTTTTATTTACGTTAGTAAGAAAAGCAACAAAAGCCCACAGCATAAAAAGTCTACCAAACACAATAAAACAACAATGAATATAAGAAGAAAATTCCTCTCATTTAAAACAGAAGTGCCTACTTCACTTGACACTAAAAAGAGCTATTGCATGAGTCTTCTCTGCATCTGGGTGATGATGGTGAAACCCAGAAGTAATAATTAAATTAATTGATGTTATTTCTTTAAGAATTTCCAGGTCTGCTCAGTGTGTATGATCAACCATACATCACTAACTGCATACTGGTGCATTCCAAACTAAAGCACTGATGCAAATTTGTTAGCTATACAGCAACCATTGCAAGAATGCAGAAAGAATCCACTTCCCAACATGCCACTAGTCAGTTCTACAGTCCAGCTCTCAACCCTCAGTCCTCCAGCATATAGTTGGGGTTGACAACCAGGTATGGGTCTTCATCAAAAGTCTCCTCTTCTTTGGAACCCCTCAGGCCCGACTGGGACAGTTCGATCAGAATGTGGTCCTGCAACAGAGAAAAAAATGTATTCCAACAAGAACAGAAAGGATTGTTTGTCCTTTTTAAAAAGACATCTCCTTTTTCTACTAGCAGCACCTCTTACTGATGAATTATTTAACCCTTCTACCTGTGAATTCACTCTAATAAGTTCCTAATTTCAACAATTACCTACACATAGCTTGGTTTCTGGGAAGGCTTCAGTCTAGCATTTTCATTCTTTTAAAAATGGGAAGTGTTTTTTTCTTTCAAAAATCCCAAAATGTTAAATGAGTAACTTCTCTGCAAATACACATTTTGATTCTGGGAAGTAGTATTTTCTACTTCAGAGCACTGTGTTATGTAAGACACAAGAACTAAGATGTTCTGTTTGTATTTCTGCACGCTACTGCAACCAAAACTAAAGAAATGCAGCAAATCAGCACTTACATGTCTATAAATACATAGCAGAAAATAAAACAGCACTTCAAACTCTTACTAACACACACTTCTAATTCACTTCTGTGTCTTGTCTGTACCTATTTTTAACAAATATTAAACAAGAAAGGCACTTATTCTGCATCAGCCAGCAACATGAAAGCACAAAACGTATTTCTCAATTAAGAAATTCTGCTAAAAATGAATCAGTGCAATGTATCTTAAAACCTTTCTTCTCCATGCACACATCTTTGTACGTACATAATGTGTAAGTCGGTGAATGACTTTCTCGATGATCTTCTTTTTGTTTATTAGTTCTTCTTCCGATTCGATTTCAGATTCTATTTCCTTCAGATACCAATTAATAAGTTCGCTTTTCTTTAATGACGAGTCATCCTCTTCTGCAAATAAAAGTTATACTTAAAAAAAATCTCATTACAATGCCGTTCCACATAATTAGAATAAGTGTTACTACAGTATGATACCTCTCAAATCATAAAAGAAAAGGATTTCTGTGTTAACAGTTATAATGCTGAAAAGATAATCACACAACAGCCTGTCAGGCTCCCTTGCTGTTCTTGAAATATGTTTTGTACAGAAGACTGGTGTATCATGGTTTAATTTGAGACAGATTGAGAATTTCATCCTTCAGCTGTATGCATCCATGAGGTTCACAAATTACACGAGCAGCCTAGCAAACACATCGGACTGAAGCTTCAAGAACAAGCAGCAACGAGGACTTGTAGCACCTTTTTCTGAGTAAGGACGAAAGATCACCATCACACAAAGATTAAGAATTCATCCTTCCCTTGTAAATGTCAGCAAAGAGACAACTCACACGTGGTGATGCTACTCAGTCTGCCAACTTTTTAATAATTCTTACCTTCCTCTGCTTTTCTGAGGTGCAACACAAGAAGATTAGAAATTCGTCGGTACTCAGAGAAGCCCAGCCTAAGAGAAGCTTTGGGTGCTGCATCCTTGTTCACGTCCTCAGAATGGCCACCTATCCCATTCACAAGACCATTGACCCCAGCTGGAGCTTCTGCTTCCCCTGTTTGGACACACGATCAACTCTGTAATGCCTTTCAGCTGGCTCATCTGAGCCACTAAATAGTGCTGCACTCACCAGTCAGGCAAGGGGAGCACACAAGAAGGCTAAAGTAAGAGAGTTAAGGAGCTAAGATTCCTAGACCTTGTGAGAAGAAAAACAGGTGGGAAATTGAAGAGAAGCATACACACAAACAAGGTAAGCTGTAAGAACTGGAGGTACGTTTCCCCTTGGAAAAGTTCTCCACAAATATTTTACCATTGACTCCGTCTTGCTCTTCTTGGTACTCCATTTCCTGCTCATCCTCTTGGTCCAGATTGATATCAGGTGTCTCAACTCTAATGATGGATTTATTTAAAAGCCTGAAAGCTTCCTTCACGTGCTTTGGATGAACCTGGGGAAGATTTAAAAAAAATACACATTCTGGTAGCTCCAAAAATTCACCCTGATCGTGATAGTCTTTCTACCCATCTCACTTAATTAATTGTGAGCAGTAAAGACCCCACAAGTTACATTACATCCTGCTACAAGTATTCTGCATTCACATAAAGTTATGGAGGAAATAAGCAGCCTGATGGAACGTTTCAGGCTTTAGTTATCATGTGGGGAAAACAAATTTTAGCTCATTCAAAGAGAGATCAGTAGAGCATGAAACATGAAAGATATGGGTCTAAACAAGGACAGTGAAAAAAGTTATAATTAATGAGATCCTCCTATGGAACTGAAAAGCAAAAACTGGAGAAATCTTTTCTTGCTGAACCATACTAAAAACTGTCTGTTTCTTCCTAAGTTGAATTTAATTAAAAAGAATCCAGTGGATGACCTTATTATACAACCAGTAAGTAGGTTTCTATCACGTGTGTCATGCGCAGTCATACTGCAGTTAATGGTCATAACACAATATGCATTTGAACTGTGGCTGACAGAGGAGGAGCTCACATCACAAATACATGCCTGACTGGATCTCTCTGCATACTCTTACGGGGGTTCAGACACCTTAAACAACCCCAGCATTTTAGATTGCTGGTCAGAGCAAACTGTGAGAAATTATAAACTGAGCAAGATTAGAGAAGGCAGCACCAGCAGTCCTGGCTGGTAGCAATCAATAACTGTCCCTCCTCTGTGGAACAATTTGACAGGTAAAAGGCTGAGAGCCCTGATACAACAGTCACACAAAAATACGCATGTTCTCAACTGGAGCCAATGATCTCTGGCTTTTTGTTGTGTTTTGGGTGCTTTTTTGTTGTTGTTTTTAGGAAGCAGTGCTCCTGGTACACAAATTCAGGCCGAGCACGATCACGTCACAAGCGAAAACATGATCCCAGCTCTCCTCTTCACTCACAGAATTTAAATACATAAAATACCTTGGTCAAAAAGCCAGAACTCCCACAACATTTATATAAACTTCCATCAAAAAGCCAATACCTCATCGCAGCAATGCATGCGGGCCATAGCTTCAGACAAGCGAATCATGCTTTCCAGCTGCCTCACTGTGATCCTCCAGGAGGACTTGGTCACTCCAGAGCCGTCACGCTGCCGAAGGCGTTTGTACTGCTCCACTATGAAGTCCTCAGACTCTTTAGATATCTTTGTGAGATAAGATGGGAAGACAGTTTGCCATGTCAAAAGCATTGAAGTTTATGCTTCTGAAATTAGATAAGACTTCTGTACTAGCTACAGCTTTTCTTCGAAATACCCTATTCTATCACACACAGCACACATAACTAGAATGACCATCAGATTAGAATTATATTGCAGTAACGACTGCAGTAACAGTTATATTACAGTAAGTACTCTGACTCACCAACTATTCTACAGATTTTTTATCAATTCTTTTTTTCTATTCCACTGACTTGCTTCTAAGCACAATTCATGCTTGTCTTTACCAGATTGTTCTGTCTGTTTACCTTTCATTCTGCATACAAAGTACTAACACTGACTACAGCTTTGCATACATGCTTTTTAACCTGACTCTGCACATCAAGAAAACAAACTACCTTCCACATGAAAATGAAATGGAAGCTTGCAAAACTCAATAAAGGAAGCTTTCTCATATGGAATAACTTACACAAGAACGTGGAATTACCTTTGGTTTAAACTGTCTCGCAAACAACAGGTACCTTCTGATATCGTCTAATGAATAGACACGATCAACAGATTCTTCTACTCTGGCATGCAGATCCACTATGCGTCTGGCAATGGCATAATCTGTCACCTGGGACATCAGTGCTCTGTTAGATCTCTTTCACAGCAACAGCCAAACATCAAAACAACAGCTATATTCTTCCTCCCATCCCCTTCCCTCACACTCCTCATGGCTGAGCTGGTCTTTCCAGAAGAAGGACACCCTGCCAGAAGACCCAGACAATGCCCTGAAGATTTATAGTACGAGCAAACAGCCAAGAATGAATGAAAGGCAGTTTTAGGATTTACAACCTCTTGGAATTCTCCTGGGTTACAAGTTAGCCATAGAACAGGCAGAAAGCAGCAGTTTGCAGCGTGGGAACTGCTTGCTTTCTTTATAGCCTGCTCTATCTATTTCAATAGCCCCTTCTTAATTACATCATTGCGCTGAGCAAAGCAGTGGAAAGAATAGTACTAACCCACCATTAATCTCTGTATGCTCCCAAGGCAAATGCCACACAGACAGGCGGTAGCCATCTTAACCTCAGTGACTAGCAGTTTGTAAAAATGCCTATTGTTAAGTTTGCAAGTCAAATCATCACAAGAAAAGGCAGTATCCTTGTATTCAGCAGAGCATATTCAAATTATACTGCCAGATTTTAACTTCGCAGAGAAAAAAAGCAGAAGCAAGAGGCTCTCACGAGACCAGCTTCACCTAAAACTGCAGAGGGCCACAGAGATGGGCAGAGGTCAGGAGCACGTTATGTACAAGGGAAATGTCTGTTTACAGATGCAATGAAAGTAAACTGTTTTTGAAAGTATTATCAGAAAAGAAGCAACAGACATAAACTGAAGTTATGATTAGATATAACTCATAGTTTAAGAAACAACAGCAACAAAAAAAATCCACACTGTAGCGTCCAACATTGCTAAAGAGGCTCCTGAAGAGGCTGCAGAATGCTCAGAATTCACCAGGTCTTGGCCACATACTCAACAGTGATGTGCTGAGCAAAAGAACAGACTAGAGACCTCCAAAGGGCTTTTCTGATATCAGTTATTCTACAATTGCTCAAAGTTACCTCATTACATTCATCCACAAGGATGAAGAAGAGATCAAACCGAGACATGATGGGTGCTGACAGGTTTATATTCTGCTTCAGTGACTTAGATCTGTCATAGCGCCCGCCAACTGGGTTTGCTGCAGCCAAAATGGAGGTTCTGGCATTCAGGGTGGCCTGACAAAGAAATCAACAAACAAAAAAAAGACATAAACCACTCGCTAAACCAATGTACTGTAATTTGAAAAGATCAGTGTACCATCTTCTAGAGAACTTAATTAGCACGTTACAACAAAGGCTCTTCAGAAGAGTCCAAACTCTTCTAACCAATCCTTTCTAACCAGCTCCAACATTGTATCATCCTGCCCTGATACACAGCATAATGATTCGATATTTCAACGTTATTACACATCTTCCATCATTATTGAACTTATAAGCCCTTAAAACTGCTATTCAAATCACCTTGCTTTCAAATAGTGCATATCTATGAATAATTCTACAAAAAAACAAATCTATACCATTTCAGGCTTATTTCAAGGGGGGGGATTTTCCCACACTAATTCCCATTTTCTCTTTCCTGCTCGCTGTCTCTTTTCTCCTTTCAGTAAAATATCTGATTCTTGAGGAGCACAAGGCCCAGAAACTTTGCAGGTAAATGATTTCTCTCTCCCTGCCACAGTGAGGCAGCTGCAGAGCTGCCATGAAAATCTGACAGACAACGCCAGATCAGAGTGTACCACACACACACCTGGGCAATCTTGTAGACCACACAGCCAAAGGAATAACACAAAGTACCTTTACTCCAGCTTTAGTAATGGATATAGTCTGCTGCTCCATTGCTTCATGAATGGCTACCTGATCCCTCATGTCCATTTTGTCAAATTCATCAATGCAACACACACCCTGCAGTGAATAATAAAAAGCAGGTGGCTCATTTCAAAAACTTTTGGAGCAAAAGAATCTTTAAGACAGTCTGGGGTCTTTAGTCATCAATTACAACAATTCCAAGGATGCAGGAACTGGGTTCCTGGACTCACATTATCTGCCAACATCAGTGCTCCAGCTTCAATGACAAATTCATGTGACTCTTCATCTTTCACAACAGCTGCTGTCAGACCAGCAGCACTGGAGGCTTTCCCGCTGGTGTACACAGCACGAGGACTGAACTCATCCACGTGCCTATGGAGAAAAGCAACAGTGCAGAATTGTGTTGCACAAACTTAAGCACACAGACCAAAACCTGCAGAAACAAAGTAACTTTCAGGAATCACTGCTTTCAACTTCTAAAGCCAGGACTCATCCCTTCAGGAAGCAACTGATGTTTAGGCAGGTCCTCCTATCAATAACGACAATTGAGTGAACCTTGGGAACTAATCCTTATCTAACTACAGCCTGGTTACACCAGCAGAAAAAGCAATCCAGACCTCCTCTCACAAGTTTTCTGCTGACTTCATGAGCCAACACAGCTCCTCACAGGTCAGGTAAATGTCAGTCAGCACAAAAGAAGAGCACACCACAGCAGGAAGCAGCTAGGCTGACCACAGGCAGCCTGAAGCAGCTGTACTGCCTGCAGGCAGCTTAAAGCAGCTTTTAGTGTCTGCATATTTCTGAGATGCAGTGTGTGCTGCAGGGACCTCAGCCTTGTGGAGAAAGATGCAGTGATAAATGAGCATCGTAACAAAATAAAACCATATTAAGTAGAATTTCAAGTGGAAAAAAAAAAAATTATAGTTTAAGGTGCAGCATTATAGACAAGATTATTTCATAATTACTGTGCAGATCTAATAGCTCTCTAGCTGAACAAAGTGATGGGACGCACCAACTTAGACTAAGCTAAAACAAGCAAGAAAAAAAGAAAATCACAATTTAATATTTTAAGATGTTCTATTTTGTGTGATTTTTAGTATTCAGTGACTTTCAAAGACATAGAATAAACCATACTTTCCTAATCACCTAAACAACAGAAACAAATTCTTAATTCAACTACTTGTAATTACCACAGGGACCCGTTGCATTTGCTTCAGGTCTATTCAAAGAACTGTCCAAACAACTCCTGGAAAATTTTCTCAACTATTTTACTTCCCTCTTCTCTGTTTAATGTAGAAAAGGCACAGTACACATCTACAGCTCTGGTCACACTGGTCAGTATTTAAACATCGAGTTTTAAAGAGATTCTTACTTTAGAAATTGACTCTTGGCTGTACTGGGATCACCAACAACACAGACGTTGATGTCCCCACGCAGCGAAGTGCCCTCTGAAGTGGTCTTAGGAACTCCTCCAAAAAGCATCAGCAGGACACCACGTTTCACTTCATCATTACCTGCCCCAGAAAAAACACCCAGCTAAAAATCCACGTGCAACTACACATTTTTCCTATTTTAAGGAAACTTCAAAACACTTGGGCACATCTGCTCTGAGTTTACCTGTTTCCTAAACTTCCACTAAAACTGCATTTATGAACTTGATACACTTTCAGGGAAGAAGGGCTCAGAAGACAGCTGGATTCTTTATGCTACCACAGCTCAGAACATGGACAAAAGTCCACTGATTGAACTTCTCAGACACGAGTCCTCAAACAAGTTCTGAGCCAGAAGCAACAGCAAACATATATGCGTGCACATCTATGTACATCAGTGTACAGATTAGGAACTCCTACATCTTTTGAAGAAGGCAAATATAAAGAGTAAAGTTTCACAGTAAATGAACCAATAGCAAAACCAATCATTTTGTCTACTCGTGCAGGCCCTAATGATTTCATGTAAGTCTGCAGGAATTTGGCTCTCTGTTTTCTAGCGTAACCAGTTCTGAAGGGGAGCATTTGAGATCAGTGATACTGAGCCTCAAGAATTCCCCAAATGGTGCTACACAGATATCAAAAAGAACTCATATGTCACAACTGAAATCCCTGAAGCTACAACTGGAGTCTTACCATGGATAGTGGGGAAGAGGCTGGTACACAGATTATGATAGAGGTTTTTATCTTGGCTCATTTCAAACACCTTTTCCCACTCTTTCACTGTCATTTGGTTTTTAATGCTTTCTGCAGTCTGTTCTTCATCTCGAAGCTCTTTTCCACCAAACTAAACAAGGGAAATCAAAAGAATAAAAATAAAACCATGACAAACACGATCATTACTGAATGCAAGTACTGCACACCAGAGCTTACACAAACTCGCCCTCTAAACTGGGTAGAAGAACGCATTTATGAAGACGAATCATAGGCTAAGGAAGTTCATCATCTTATACTCTTAGAACACTAAGAAGCACAAAAGCAATACAGACAGCTCCATAGGGAGCAAATGGGAGTCTAAGCTTGGTCCATGGGCAAAAAGACAAGAGGTGCTTCTTTGTTCAGAAAGTAAAAATAGAGCAAAAAACCCCACCAGTACAGCTTCCTTTGACTAAAACTTGCCTTAATCAGAACTTAAAAGATCTTGAATTGCTCTGGAACAAGGCAAGAAACTTCTACATTCTGAAAATTGTGTAATGCACATGAGGTTGGTACACATACATATTTAAAGTTTTGTACACCCTCATCCTGTAATTTGAGGTAAGAATACAGAGCAGAAATCATCAATAATTTTCTATCTATTTTATTCCCAGACTCACCCGTGGGTTTGTTGGTGCAACGTAACAGGCTAAAAAGACCAGTTTGTAGGACAGCTCCCTGACTCCAAGGGCACGAAGTCCCCGGACTCCTTCAGCTTCATAGCCCTCCGTCCCACTAACCCGTGAGCCAGTTTCTGCACGAACCCCTGCCAAGAGAATACAAGTCAGAACAGCTGCAACCAGAACAAGCTGCATGGCATCGAGGTGATGAGCAGTCGCAACAAACCTGGCGTTGACAGCTGAGCCACATCAGGCACAACAATCAGTGATCCTGTGAAGTCACATTTGTCACCTGCTTGAGCAGATTCCACTGCTTCTGCACGCAGGATCACTTCCATGCTTCGAGGAATGCTGCCCCGGGGCAGCTCGGCCTGTGTCTCTTGAATGCGAACCTGAGGAGGTACAGAGCATTAAGCACTCAGATGTCACCAGATCTGGAAATGCTTTGAAAGCTAAGCTGCTAACAAATGCAGTAGGAAGCATTTGCTTGCAACCATCTGATTCAATCAGGTGTCTTGGGAAGCTTAAGAGGATTCACAGGGACCACAGTGCCAAATCTGAAGTCAAGGAAAAGCACTAAGGCCACTCAGATTCTACTCAGTGCAACGCTTTATCGTGAGATGCAATGTGCTGAGGATCCTGCAGAGTAAATCCACGTGAAAGAGTGAAACACCGCAGATACAAACAAGACACTTCTTTTCAGACTTGCATGAAATAATTATGCATGACATATCTGTGACAGCAGACTGACAAAGGCTTGAATACGTGGGTTTTCAGTGGCTTGCTTACCTAATAAATGTCCTGCAATAAAACCGTTTAGATTCTATTTATAATTTCCCATGCTTAATCATAATTCTTCAAAGAAAGAACGAAACAAGGTGCAGAAACTCCAGTGCCTTTATTCGAGGTCTTTTTAATGTGCAGCGGCAGCAACACCTTTCAAACACCACAGCAACATCACATCACCATTTGTCACCCCCCCCAATCCAACCTCACCACTGTACCTTTTGGAAATCAACGAATCTTGATTTGTTTGTGTCCAGCAGGAATCTCCTTCTGTTGGCACAGACTGGGTTTCTGCAGATGTTTGGCTGCGTGTACTTAAATTGCTGTTCCACATCCTTAATCACCGTCTGGCAGTCTAGGCACAGGAAGGTGCCACTGACCAGCTCTGGATGAACTGGGTGGGTACGTACCACCTGCCCACTGATACGCATCAGCGAGCCAATTTTGGCAGACGTCAGCTCTCGAATCCTGTGTAGAACAGAAATTAATTCCAGATTAAATTCCTAGTCCAGCTGACACTTCATGCTGGGAGTACTCAAGTAGTAGCAGTATGCTTTCATTCCATTTGTAACAAAAAAGCAATTGTAACAAGCAAAAGAAACAAGGTTAAGAAAAACAACTTCCCATTTTGTCATTTTACATACTTTTAGACTAACATAAATTACATCATCAGCACTTCAAAAGCAACACATTATATCAGATTGTAAAATACAAAAGTTAAATTAGTTTGTCAGTATCTGCAATCACTTCCAGTCCAGCATATGTATGATTCACAGATGAAAAACTGTTTCATAAAATCATGCAACTTCTTCACAATTGTACAGGTTAAGTGCACCTTCTATGCTGCATAACGAGAACATTTTCAATACCCTTTGACATCTTTTTCCAGTAGTGAGAATATTCTAGTTTCTAAGATTAATAATCATCTTACTTGTGTCTGGTAGGCAGATCCTGAAATGCAACATAGAAGTCCTTGCTTGCAGGAACACTTCCATGGTCTCTAGCAAAAGTCCTTACAGCTCGGCAAAGGTAAGGATAAACCCTGAAATGAAGGAAATAAGTTTAATTTCTATATGAGATATCAAAATGTCTTTTTCACTTTAGACTACGTCACAGGCTTGTATCATATATTTGCAGGCTCTAGCTTTAAAATATTTTCACAGTGAGAAGCTCTAGAGCTTATCCTGCATTCTCATTCTGCCCACCTATTTCTTTATCAGAGTAAATGAAATTGCCTTGTTCACTCGTCGTTTTCAGAAAGGCTGAATTAGTAACTATGAATTAGTTAAGAAATAATTTTTGAGTCAGTAAAAATAATTTCCTAAAGGTGAGGTTTTTCAGGATACCGAAAGCAGATGAACCGCAGGTGAGACCTTATGGGCCTGCGACTGCTGCACTGGTCAGATTTCAGGCAATCCATACACTTTACCTGTAAAATTCCTCCTGAACAGTGGTAGAGAGCTGCTGATTGAACTGCTCCAAATCCACAAAGCTCACAGTGAGGGTGTTCCGCTCCGGCCGGATCAGCTCTTCAGCATCACGTAAGTATTTGACCTCCCCATCACTGTTCTGGAATCTGAAAGCAAGCCAAGGAAATGAGTGACAGTTATACACCAGATAGAAACCAAATACTTCTGGATTCAAGAAGGAAGAATTGTATGTGCAAGAAATCAATGGCACTCCCATTGCCTCAAAGTCTCTTCCAGCAATGTTCTCTCCCAAGCAACAAGCCATAGGACAAAAGGAAACAGCCTCACATTGCAGCAGGTCTTTAGGTTGGATTGTAAGGAATTGTTTTCATTTTAAGTGCTGCGAAGCATTGAAACAGACTGCCCAGGAAGCAGTTGAGTCACAATTCCCGGAGGTATTTAAGGACACAGACACAGTGCTTAAGGACATGCATTAGCTGCAGACTTGGCAGCGAAAGGTTAACGGTTGGAATTCATGATCTCAGGGGCCTCTTCCAACGCCAATGGCTTTCCCTCTGCCCCCATGACCACGCCGGCACACACGCAGGCCAGGCCTGTACAGCTGCTCTGCCACACGGACTGCATTCATCGTCCAACCAGGACCCTGTCTGCCTAATTCTGCACCCTCAGCACCCCTCAAGGGCGGCCTCCACGTTTCCACAACAAGGCTCGGAGGGACCTCGCGACGTTACCACAGAGCACCTCACAGCCGGGCCCAAGCTCTTCTGACGGGAACGAGGGGCAGGGCCGCAGACCCGCCGGGACGGACCCCCCCCCCACACACACACCCCGGCCGCACTCACTCCTCGAGGAAGTCCTGGAACAGCTTCTGGCACTTCTCGGCCACCTCATCACGCAGTTGCTGATGCTGCTGCGCCGCACCCGCGCCGCCGACCGCCACGGCCAGATCCATCGCTCCCGCTGCCGCACCGCTCCCGGCCCTCGCCCCGCCCACCGCCCTTCGCGCCGCAGCCGCGCCGGCCAATGGGTGACCGCCGTCCCGCAGAGCCCCGCCCCTTGCCCCGCTCTTCCTCTTCCCTCTCGGGCGTTTTCGCGCCAAAAGCGAGCGGCGCCTCAGGGCCGTGGGCGGGGCTCGTGCCACGCCGTACGCGCACGCGCCTGGCGCCTCGCCTTTGTGGCCGCCGGGCGCGCGCCGTCGGCAAAGCTTTGAGTGCTGCAGCCCGTGGGGATCGAGCGCGCCCCATAACCGCGCGTTGAGTCATCCCAGAGCGCGCGAGTCCTGCGGGTGCCGCCCCCATGGCGGCACTGGGACCCGGGGCTCCGAGCTCTGTCAGGAAATGGCTGCTCTGCGCTGATTACACCCACGGCACGTGCGCTGAGTGTAACGCGGTGTGAGCCAGCCCAAGGGCGGGCGCTTGTGCGCTCGGCTGCGGGCTGCCGTGAGGCGGCATTTGCCGAGCGATGGCACCGTGCGGTGACAGCTGCTGGCGAGCGATGTGTTGCCAGGAACAGCTCTGAGGGCTGTGAACAACTGCTCGGAATCGCAGTGCCACCTGCAAAGACATCCTGCTCTGCCCGAGCGGGAAACGCTCCTGCAATTAAGGCAGCTAAGGGCTGGTTTTTTTGGTTTTTTTTTTCAGTTCTGAAAGTCTTCAGAGACTCTAAAAATAAAAATCTAGCAGTGCAAGTTTCCTGCAAGTGTATGTTACGATGCTCTTACTGTGCAACGCACAGTCTTATTTGCAGAATGGTAAAAGCAACTCATTGTAACATTTTCTTTTTAGGGATCTGCAGTGAATATTGGAAATTAAGTGTCTTTGCACTGCACTCTCACTGCTTAGACTGAAATAGAGATAAACCCAAGCTGGTGTTTGTTTCATTCCACAGGTACAACGTGCTTGGTCATCATCGGGTGGCCCTCAGCATGCGCAGTACTGTCAAAAGAGTAATTAAAGTGATTAAAAAGTACTTCTCCAAAAACATCCCTACTGCTTCTAAAAGCATGTAACAAAGTTCAGCTCACCATTCAGAGGTGGAGGGCAGTCGGTACCAATCCTGCCCCAGCTGCAAAAACCACGGTGAGGAGAAGCTACGTATCCTGGCACCAGCACTAACAGGGCAGCTCTTGGCTGAAGCCAGCTGGTGTGCTCCCAGCCCATCTGCTCTCTTCTAGTTCTTCCTCTTTGAAAAGGCAGCCTCTTTGGAAACCACCCGTGACAGAAGGAGTCTGAAAGACTCCCCAAGTTTTATCTGGAAACTGAAACACACGGGCTCAGTATCTTCCCTGGGAAAGATCCTGTGGGGGAAGCCTATCAGTTTCATTATATCTTCCTTTTGTTATCAGGAAAGCCTGGAGGGGCAGAGATGAGATGGTGAAGTTACTGGCACAATCACTGTGTGAAAAAAACATTTTGCCCTCTACATAAAGGAACAGCTGATTAATCTTAAGCACTTATTACGTGAATTCAAATCAAAGAACAAGCTTTCAAGCTTCAGAAGATGTCTGCAAGAATATCAGTGTTCGGGTTTTTTTTCCCAAACAACTTGAAAGCAACTACAAAGTTTTGATTGTAGTGAAAACATGCATGATTCTGACTGAAGATTTAAGTACCCATAGACTAAGGGAATTGTATCTGTGTATGTATCTAAGGACACAAAGTGAGACAGTTGTTTATTCCAAATGTACTGGAGAGCGTGGGACCCGAGCATGATGGATATGAATGATACGGAATAACATGTGGAGATCGATCATACTGGATGGAATGGGATGGAATTAATTTTCTTCCAAGCAGGTGACATGGTGCCATGCTATATACATTCGTGACTAAACAATGGATGCTGAGCAAGACATAAGGAGCAGACACAAACAGGCAGCTGACCTAAACCAACCATGTAATAAGCAGCAATAAAAAGGGAGAGGAAGGGGTTGGGGATTTGCCATATTTTGCTGGGGAACTGGCTGGGCACTGATCTACGTCTGGAAGATGGTGAGCAATTACCTTTGCATCCATCGCTTGTTCTCTCTTCTCATACTTCTTCACTTAGCAAACAATTCTGCAACACAAAGTTTTTTTGCTTTATTCCTTTCCTCAGCCCCATCCCTCTACTGGCATGGTGCTTAGCTCCCTCCTGGGGGGAGCCCACAGCAGCAGCGCTCAGCCACTGGGCATCAGTCCTGTGCTTTGCTTCTACAAAACTGCCAGTCTTCTTTCCTGCTGGGCAGATGCGGACAGCTCACTGAACACGGATGGGTTTTCACAAGGAAGTATTTCAGTTAAACTGCAGAAATAAACTGAGGCTTTGCAGTGTTAGCTGTTAACAGATGACTCCCTAGCTATCCCTTATTAATAACTTTTAAATCAGTTTAATACTTAAAAATGAGCAAGAATGATTACCTTTATCTGTATATTGTGAAAGAAAAAAACAGTAATTTTAACTGATGAAAAAGCAGCAGCAATTTGGACTCCAGGTAGAATGCTAAAGTTCCTGCAATAGGTGGTGGGAATCAAGGACTATACGGGTTTTCTTGAACTATGAAACCAGAATTGCTAACTATCAGAACAAGATAAAGTTCTGAATTACTATCTGCTGAGTTTTAACCAAGTTCTAGCAATGCACAGCATACACTGAAGTATCCTGTTTAGATGACAGTCCTGAGAAATGCAGTTTGCATTTTGATTTATGATCATAATTATTTTCAGTTGGCTAAGAAAACCTGCATGAAAGGATATGGCATACAAAGGGAGAAGAAGGGATAGGGGCCTCCCAGCAGAACAGTGGTTCTTTTGCAGCTACTGAGAATAAATCAAACTAAAATATGAGCTCAAGTAACTCTTAACAGAATTGGGATAAGCACAGTTATTTACAGGAGTACGTGCAAAACCTCCTGCCACATCTAGAGTAATGAACATAATTCTTAGATCTGTTTTTTTGTTGGCATGAAATGTAAGCCACTAATTTTGTGCATTATTAGGAGGAAGCACTTCTGATGTACATTACCAGCTCGGTAAGAACAAAAGAAATTAAATAAAATTCATGCCAGCCAGCTAAGCTGAATAAACAACTGTTTTGAAACTTGGATTCATCAGTAAGAAGACTGTGGTGGTAAGCTACACTTAGCCACTTAGCTTTCTAAAATATAACTGAGTAGAGGATAACATTTTTAATACCAGTAAATAATATGGGACAGATTCTATATTTAAAGTAATTACAAAGGACCAATGAACAAAGCTGCAAAGTATGTTATTCTTTGCATTGTATGCCTTCTAAACAAAGTTTAACTTTGAAATTTCCAGCACTCTATCAAACTGACCTTTAGTATTCCTAGAATTATCGCTTTATAATGAAGAACTTGTCACAAAAAAGGAAAATTAAGTCTTGTTCAATGGCAGCTGCAAAAGATGATTTGCCCTTTTGTGAAATTCTACACAACTTCAGCACAGCCTCCCTGACTGACCTTTTTGCAGCATAACCAATATGTGACTTCTCTGACATTTAAAAAATCAAGGCAGCAACAGAAACAGACTGTCTAAACTATACCTCCAACTGAAAGCTTTTAACATGTAAAATGTTAAACAACAATTAAGTCAGAAATTAGAAGTGTGTATGAAAATGAGACCAACTCTATTGCAGGGCCTAAAAGTTGAATAGAATCTTCTGTTCTTTGTCATCAACCCTTACTGTTTTAAACTGGAAAAGCAACCATCAGATGCAGTATTTAAAAGGAAGTTTAAAAAAGATCAGTTCCTCACAAAATGCAGGGCATGCTCGTTGGGTTGGGAAGACAAAGAGAAGTAGGTTTGTGTACCACTGAAAAATGAGGAGGTCCAAGCAATTGATTCATTTCAGAAAGAGGATGTCTAGAAGGAATTTTAGAAGTATTCTTTCTGACTTAAACACCCTATTTCTCTAGGTGTACAATGCTTAGGCAGATCACAGCATCTATAAATGAAGCAAACTCAAAGCTTCCATTACTTACTTTTCTTCCATTTGGAACAGATACATGAAATCCTCACTGATATGCTCAGTTATCATAGAAGTGTTGTCAGGAATGAACATGTGACGTGCTCTCAAACTCACCATCTATTTATTTGCTGAGAACATTATATATCCCTCATGCATGCCATGAATCTACGTAACCTCCTATCCAGTCCCAAATAGCAACATAAAGAATGGGCCCTATGGCTGCTGGCAACTTTAAGCAAGGACACAGAGCAATTCAAACCTTAGGTGGTTATTCCATCAGGTTTTGTTTTGTAATTAAATGCAACATTCCATGATTACCATGTGAGGATACAAAGCAACAACCAGAAAAGACAGCTACTGTACCTAGTTTGCTTAGAGAATTTTATTGGAATCCATTACGACTTTTAATTAAGAATATTCTCCTTCTCACCTGCTACAGTTTCACACAAGCAAATTAACAACTGGGTTGGTTTCCTCTCCTGCTTTTTGAATTGCGAGCATCCTGTTATTTCAGCTTTGAGCCAATTCTGTAATCCAGAATATTCAATCTTGCTGACATAAGTTAAAAGTGCACAATATTTATTGCACAATTTATTTAAATGCTTAGAAACATGATACAATTTAATGACATTAGAATACCAATTCGAATTTGTTAAAAATGTGCAGCTGCCAGTACAAAGAGTCTTGCTCTGTTAAAATAATAGCTCTTAAATAAATACCTACAGGATAAAAAAAAATGTTTGTGGCACTTCAGTAATCAGATCATCTTCTTTCATTGCATATTACAATGCTTAGATCAATACACGCTCATCACCAGCAACAGATATGCTCACAATTATATCACACTTGAGGGCAAATCACCTCATGCTTTTATGAACAGGCCATGTTAGGGTGTCAGTCGTTTGGGATCCCGTGGGAACATGGAGGTCTGGCGAACATTATGCAGCCCTAGGTACAGCATAGTTACTCTTTCCAGCCCTACAACAAATGGGAAGAAAAAAAA